AGTAAGGGTGGAAAATGGGTGGAAAGAAAATGTTTTACAGGGGAAATATTTTCCTAGAAATTGTTTTCCAGGGAATTGTTAATTAAGTGTGTTTGATTGGTATAATTTTCTACCCGGAAAATTTTTAAATTTTGTGTTCGTTTGACTTTGTTTTACATGGAAATTGTCCATTAAACTGATAATTTTTTTCACAATTGGTTATAAAATTTGTTTCCATTGCTAAAAAGTTAAAAAAAAAAAACGAAAAAAAAAATTGTTTCCTAAAAAATCATTTTTTTATCAAAATTTAGTGCTCGTTTGGCCTTCGTTTACATCAAAATTATCCATGAAAGTGAATTTTTTTTTTACACTTGGTTATGAAATTTGTTTTCATTGCCAAAAAAAAGAAAAAAAAAGCGGACAGAACTGGGAATTAATTTTCCCACATGAAAGGCAAGAATATATTTTCCTCCCACGCATGGAATGTGGCACGTAGAAGGAAAAAAAATTTCAGATTTTCCATGCCAAATTTTTGTCATCAAACACCACTAATGGAGGAAACTTGAAAAATATTTTCTTTTTCCTCCCCTTTTCCATGCTATCAAATATGGCCTAAGTTCATTCACCGAATGTTTTCTTGTTCTAGTGGCTGACAAAGGCCAACTGAACAACCCTAATTATTGAATGACTATTGTACTTCTATATCCTTAATTCTTACTTATAAATATAAGGCATTGTTTCTCTATAAAATAAACACAACTTTATTAATTCTCTCTATTTTCTTCCTTTTTCCTCTAATGCATAACAATATGATATTATTTTTAGGAAATGTTTTAAATAAATCTAATTTCTCATACTTCTTTTTCATTTACTAAAGAACTAAAAACAGAAAAGAATTAGAACAAAATACTTTTTTTGGAGTAGGGAATCAAAATACTTAGTTTCTATTTGACCCCCATTTTCTGAAATTCATTTTTCTTGAAACTCATTATGAATCATACATTTTAATCGAATCCACAAGTTTTTTTCATATTTTTAATCACAAATTTCATCAACTTTTATCAAATTTAATTTTTAACTAAATCAAATAGGGACTTAATGGTACATCTATCTATTCATTGTATAAAACTTCTTCCGACTTAATAAAATATTTTAAAAATTATAACATTTGTTAATAATAATATGGTAATGGGTAAATTGATCTCAAAGTTTCAAACATTTGAACTTGTAATGATGGTGTCTCAAAACTTTAATTTTCCAATAAAATCTTAAACAGGGACTAAAATCTTAAATTTTAAATAAAATAACGCTTGTACCCTCAATTTGATTAAAAGGAAAGAGTAATAATAATTTGAATCGCAACGAAAGAATAAAATTAAATAACAAAGAGTAAAGCAAAAAAAAAAAGAAAGGAAAAGTCATTTATGCTGCCACCTCTCTCTTTTCTTCCCCTACCGAAACACACCTAGTCAATTTTGTAAAGATTAGTTATGGTTTAGTTGTCAACCAAGCAACTTTTGTGAGTTTAAAAAACGATTAGTGATGGAATATGACAATAGTGAGATTCATAACCGAAATTGAAATTTAATTACTTAATTAGAATTTTGTTGAAAGTTTAGCAACCACCAATGAAATTTACCCAAAGGATGAGTATCATATATGGGGATTGGGACAAAAGGCTGTACAAAACTTTTTTTTAGGACATGTTTGATAGCCCTTTATTTTTCATGAAAGTTGGAATTGAAATTCCATTTCCTACTTTTGTCATGTTTGATGACACTTTTTTTTACTTGAAATTGGTTTTCCACCTTTGCTTGTTTTATTGGTTTTATAGTTGAATTGAAATTCCATCTTTTTATTTTTTATTTTTTGCTTTTTCTTTTTTTAATTTGGCAATAAAAATAAATTTCATCCCCAATTGTAAAAAAAACTATCCTTTTAATTGACAATTTGTCAATTTTCATGTAAAATAAAGCCAAACAAACGCAAAAAAAATTCCATTTTTTTGGCAATCCAAACAAATTATATAACTTTAATTGACAATTTTCATAAAAACAAAGTCAAACGAACACCAAAAGATAGAAAATTTCAACATTTTTCAAGTGAAAAATTATACTAATAAAACACAATTAATTGACAATTTTCAGTAAAATAAATTCTAGACAATTCAATTCCCTATAATTCATTTTTTTTAAAAACCCAAATTTCATCTTTGAATCAAACAGACCCTTGCTGTATTTCATTCGTTCAGCGACCGGAATACTGCTATAATTTAGTAGTATTTAAATACTACTAAATTTATCTCTTGTTTGATATCCATTATTTTTAAAATATATTTTTCTCTTTCTTATTTTTAATCGCACATTTTTCATTAAAATAATATTATACAAAAACCCAATTTTTTTTCTTTTTTTTTTTAACCACAATTTATCCAACAAAATAATATTTTAAAATGTATTTTGAGCAAAAATGAGACTCAATCAGGGGTTAATATATTAAAGGATAAATTGCACTCTACGTTCCGAACCTTTGAATCTTGTTACGATAATGTCTAAAAACTTTGATTTCCAGCACTACTGATCCCAAATTTTTTAAATGTCTGCACTTGAAGTCCATTTATAACGGAAATCATTGGTTTGACTTTTAAAAGCTCATAGTATGAATGAAAGGACATTTGTACCCCTAGCTCCCATTTGACCTTCATTATAATTTAAAACATTTTTTTCCCTCCTCATTTTAATTACACATTTTCCAATAAAATAATATTACAAGTAAATTCAAACTTTTTTCTTTCTTTTAAACATAACTACTTCAAAATATATTATTTCCAAAAACTTATTATAATGGATACCAAACAGGGGATAATTTGAATTAGATCAAAAGATATAGAAATAATTTGATTTATAACAATAGAATAAAATTAAAGAATACAAATAATTAGCCTCTGTTTGGAGCGGATTTTCTGGTCCAAAAAATGGATTTTTTACCGTTACATAGCGAGGTGGGTCCCAGCAATCAGAGATAAAAATCAAAAAGTACGGTTGAAATTGGAACTCAACAGTGCAAAAATGGGCTCCAAAGAGGGGCTAAACAGTCTAAAAAAAATAGGAAAAAGAAAATCCCATCCATGCAGCGGCCACCGTCTCCTCTCTGTTTTCATTACGAAGAAATCATACCCAAGATTATGGTCTAGCTGGCAACCAAGCAGCTTTTGTCTATTTGGAGAAAGATGAGTGGCTGAATAGGATCACACTACGTGATGCCATGTTCAAATAACATTATCCGATTGAAACTTGATATAAAATATGATATACATGTAACATGACTGATATTGAAATTGGAACAAAATCCGTTACACACTTTTTACTATATTTGACTTGACAATCATTAAATCAAAATTCTTTTTTTTTTCTTACACTCATTTTAACCACGTATTATCACAATAAGATATTTTGTACTTAAATTCCAATTTTTTTCTACATTTTGAATAATTTATTCTTTAAAAAATACTGCTTGAGCATTCATTTTTCTTAAAAAAAAATCATTTTAGTGGTTGTCAAAAAAGTACATTTAACTCTGCAAAATATTTTACGAATGTATAATTAAAAATAAACATGCCGGGGAAAAAGTTTGAAAAATATGATTATCAAATAGGACTCAAATCATTCCGCGACCAACGCGGATTGCCTAGGATATCCACAGCGTTCACACCTCAATCAGGTCCCGCTCTCGGACTGTCGGTAGACTGTCATCTCATATATAATGCAAATTCGCCAGATAAATTAATTAATTACTATACTTACAAGTTAAGACTGGATTTCCAAATATTTTAAAATTTCAAAATTCTCTTTATTTGGAAAATCTTTTTATTTATTTATTTATTTTTCCTGTATAAGTAGAATCTAGAACTGTGATTGGTGAATTTTTCGGCTTTGCAGAGATTGTTATGACAAGAAACTGATTTTTCTCATGGTTTGTCTTTTTCTTTGTTTTCTTTACTGAATTGCGTTCTCTGTTTTGGGTTAATTCAATGAACAAATAAGTAATTCCTTTTCAAATTCAAGAAAAGGGCTGCAGATTCGGCGGGGAGAAGACTTTACTTTGAGATGTATATATGTTAATATATTGACAAAGAAGGGGAGATATTTAATATTACTATATAGGATTTTTATAAGTATTGGATTATAAAAAGCAAAGAAATAGCGGATGATGAAAGTTAGGCTTTCCCAATTCCAAGTTTTCAAGAATTTCCAAAAACCAAATTCAGGTGATTTTTTTTGTTATAGATTCAGATCGTTTTTCTTTCAGTAAAATTTTCTGGGTTTTGCATATCTCCGTTTCTTGGTGAATCAAATTTGCTTTTCTTGATTCTGATCAAGATTTTTTCAGGTTATTTTCTTAAAATTCATACGTGGAAATTTATTAAGTTAATTATTTAGGGCTGATTAATTTTTGTGATGTACAGAAACTTGGTTTTTGGGGTAACTTCTGATGTGTGAAGGTACTTTACTTCCCTGCTAATATAAATTTTCAAGTACACGAACCATTTCAATCTGTTGACTATTACATGATTATAAGCTTTAATGAGAAGAAAATTTCATGGTTTTTAGAGTCTCCTATATGTTATAGTTATACAATTATGTATATTGGTTCACTGGTTAATCAAGTCAGATTCCTCCAAGGTTCTTTGTTTTGGGAGGTTAATTCAGAAGCCCTCTCAAATAGAGATTTTTTTTTCTTATCAGTTCTGCTATGATATGGTTGTCTTTAAGTCACGATCTGATATATGATGGTTTTATTCCTGATTCAGTTGCTTCTTTACTCTGTTGCTTATATCCAATTTAGTAGCTGCTGTATTTCACTGACTAGCATGTAGTTTTGACCTCTATAGGTCTGTTTTGCATGTCTCTTTCCACTGATTGTAATGTAAAAATGTACTAATTAAATTTTTCGTGTAGGCTGTCCCTATTGTTTCTTCTCATTAGAGCTGTTGCCCTAGCATTGGATTAGATTGATGTGCAATGCAGAGATCACGCAGGGCTCTTCTGCAAAGACGAGCTTTGGATAAGGCAATCAGTGGAAGGACTCACTTGTATCAAATTTCCCTTTCTCTTGTTCTTCTTCTTTGGGGCCTCATTTTCCTCATGAATATATGGTTTGGCCATGGTGATGGTAACAAAAGTTAGTGCCATTCATATTATATCATATTTATCTTTTAGTTTTAATTTTGTGTCATCTCAGTTTATACGAGCAAGCAATATACTATTGGAAAATAGTCATTCTTGGTGCACACTAGTGATTCTATGGTGGCTACCTCTTTGGTCAATTAGTTCTTTAATGCAACACATAGTTGTATAATGAGCCAGTTTGAGCTGAGATTTAGGGTGCTCAACCTGGACTTTTATTGTAAAGGGGTCTTCACAATGTTTGAGCTTGCTGGCTTAATATTGAAGCTTCTTGAACGAGCTTTTGATCTGTTAAATTCAAGCTAAGCTCGTGCAGTCCTCTTGGGTATGCTCGAAGAGTTATGATGTCAAAGAAGTATTCCTCCAGTTTGCTTCGTGCTTGAGCTGGCCTTGAACATGCTCTAAATGAGCTAATCCCTATTTGCTTGAGCATATTTACTTACCTAATTGGATAATTGCTGTAATTGAGATGATTGCATCTGCTTTTTAGTCGTGGCTGTTCTTAAAATTGTTCTTATCCAACAAAATCTGCCCTTCATTGTGGAATCATCTTCTGTATGCATTATTTTTTTTTTCCACTTACCTCCTAAATTTTGAAAGCTTTAACGGATGCAGATGAATCTGGTGAATTCCCTTTTGGTATAAGAACGAGAGATGAAGATCAAATGGGGCCTAACAGGAGTTCCTTATTATGGGTGGATGAAAATCGTGCAGTCGTAATACAACCTGAAGACTCTATAGTTAATATGGGTACAGAGGGTGAATCAAAAATCAAGTCAACAATTTTTAAGTCTGAACCAGCCATTGCAGAGCAAATTGACGCCAAAAGATTGGACTCACTGGAGAATCTGAAGGACACTTCTGAAACTGACAGGTTGTTACGTGCAGTTCCTCCAGGTCTTGATGAATTCAAGAACAAGGCATTAAATTCTAGAAGTAGACAATTAAGTGGCAAGTCCGGAATCATTATTCACAGAGTGGAGCCTGGAGGGGCAGAGTACAATTATGCTTCTGCTTCAAAAGGAGCAAAGGTCTTGGCGTACAACAAGGAAGTGAAGGGTGCTTCTAATATCTTGAGTCGAGATAAGGACAAGTACCTTCGAAATCCTTGCTCTGCTGAGGAAAAGTTTGTTGTCATAGAACTTTCCGAAGAAACATTAGTGGATACAATTGAAATAGCAAATTTTGAACACTACTCATCTAATCCAAAAGATTTTGAGCTTCTTGGCAGTCCTGTTTATCCAACCGATTCATGGGTGAAACTTGGAAATTTCACAGCTGGGAACGTGAAGCATGCTCAAAGATTTGTTCTTACAGAGCCAAAATGGATGACATATCTTAAACTGAATTTATTGAGTCATTATGGTTCAGAGTTCTATTGTACACTTAGTGTTCTAGAAGTGTATGGAATGGATGCCATAGAGAAAATGCTTGAGGATCTGATCTCTGTTCAGGATAAGTTAGCAGTATCCGAGGAACCGATTAATGAACAGAAACTTACCTCCAACCAGCACGTAACTACAGAGAGTGATCTTTGTCGAGATGTGGTTGATGAACCTGTTAATGAACTTGGAAACTCTAATGGGAAACATGAAGCCACTGTAATTTATGTGCTGGACCCAGTTGAAGAAATTCGTCGTCAGCAGGTTAACAGGATGCCTGGAGATAGTGTTCTCAAAATTCTAATGAAAAAAGTTAGATCCCTGGATTTGAATTTATTGGTTCTAGAGCGATACTTAGAGGAGTTAAATTCCAGATATGGTAACATTTTCAAAGAATTTGATAAAGAAATTGGAGAAAAAGATGTCCTTTTGGAGAAGATCAAGTTAGACATAAGGAGTTTCTTTGACACCAAGGAGGTCATGGTATGTAATTCTTTTGCCATCAACCTCGTGATATTTGTATTTTCAGTAGTCAATTATTATGAGTGTATTCCTAAATTATTACTTTTGCAGAATAAAGAGATCAGCGATCTTCTATCTTGGAAATCTCTTGTTTCCACACAGCTCAATGATATAATGAGAGACAATGCTGTTCTCAGGTAGTTCTTCTGCAAAACTCCTTTGGGTGATTTTGTTCATTCACCAGTAACCTAAAAACCAGATAATTCTGAGATTAAGATCTTTCTTCTTCCCTCCCTCCCCAATAAAATTCCTGCTATTCTAATACAGAAAAGATTTTGTGTATGAATCACATCATCATTTGGAGGTTTTCTTGGGTGTGTACGAGGATGTGTGTAGGCTTGTTACGTTTGTAGATGAGACCATAGAATAGTATGTACACCTTCATTTGTCCGTATTTAGAATCCAAGTGTCAAGTAGACTACCATCTCCTTAACTTATAATGATTTATTCCATAAGATTAGAAAATGAAATTCCGACTTACCTAAATATAATAACAGACCTAACCAATGCAATTTTCTGGTGTTCACTTTTTCTCATTCATCTGAATGGGTTTGTCCTAGTCCTTAAGACAAAATTTGGTTCCTAAGCAAAGTGGGATGAACAATCTGAAAGAATACATTTTTGAGTTTAATTTACAAAATATACGGTTCACTAATGGACGCTTCAATTCATCAGTTCTAACTTGTTTATCAGATTATATGTCGACAATCTGTTTGCTTTCCCACTTCTATAAATAGCTTCTTTGTTAGGTGACTATGTTTGTGTTTAATTGCAGATTGGAGGTTGAAAAAGTTTGGAAGAATCAGTTACATATAGAGAATAAAGGAATTGTTGTGTTTCTATTATGTATAGTTTTTGCATTCTTTGCTCTTCTAAGGATATTGACAGATATGATTTTCAGTGTTTATGGTACCCAAAATTCCAGGAAATTTTGTTCCAACGGGTCTTCCTGGTTTTACCTATTAGTGAGCAGTAGTGTTACCATGATCATCCTATCTTTATAAACTTTCCAATTTATTAATTCTTTTGCATATTACAATTCTTTTTCTTCTTAATTTTTTCAGTATGTTATTGTCATTAACTTTCTTCCATATTGCTTCACGACTTTTTGTTCATTTTCTGCGTTATTTTCTCGAGTGGCATTTATGTATGTTAGTTTTTGAGTTATAACACAAATTGTGGCAGATGACAGATATTTTTTTCGCGAGTTTTGCTACACGGACAATTTTGTTGACATTCCATGTGGAAGGCAACCTGGTCATTTATTTGAATAATACTTATTCAAATCAATGGCCAGATTTTTGACCTTTATGGATAGTAAGCCAAGATGTACAAAATGAATGTCATTGTGGATTTGAACCCTCATGGTGGGGTCCGCACAATTTTTTTTAATACATGTGGGGCCGGCCCCTGTTAACAAATCCCCTGTACATGAGGATTTTTTTTTTAGAATAGGGTATGATTACCCAGCCACTAGACTCAAAGCGCACGTACAAGGAAAGTAACCAAGAAAGCTATTGAAATAAGACAAATCATATTTCCATACAAAATAAGTAAATTTACATAATTAAAATTTAAACCATGTCGAACGAGCTTTGTATAAGATATACTCATTAATATTCTTATAGTTTACCGAGAATAATTTAAATTACACTCAATTGTAGAAAATTCATTTTTTTTTTTCCGCAATGGCATTCAGATTTATTGGCCACTTCCTAGATATGTGGCTTAAAGAGTGATAGGGATTGTTAGAAATATGAGAGTTTAGTGATATTTTGAAATGTGAGAAATCTGATACGATAGGGATTGTATGAAATAACTAAGAGGGTGTTTGGTGGAAAATAAAATTAGATTTTCAGTGAATTGTGATAGAAGTTTTTGAAATGTGTGGTTGAAAAGATGTGGAACCCATGAAAAATATGGTTAATATTGATTGTTTTACTTTGACTTAGATTAAAATCGAATTTTAATCTAACCCAGACAGACCCTAAAGCTAGAATATGGTGCATATGGATCATTTTGGATGGCTTCGTCCAACATGTTAAATGATCATTTTTCATTTTGCAGGGCACATGGCCTATCATTTTAAGGGTGTTAGGTCAACAAATTATTATCTTAAAGAATAATTCAAAAGGGCAAAAGAAAAGAAAAGTTACCTTCTCCTACAATTAATCATAATTTCCTCAATGTTCACCAATCACCCCTATCGCATTCAGGGGCGGATCCAAGAATCTTGAGTGAATTAGTGTGGATCTAGGCGAGTGCTCGTGGTCG